AGCCCCCGCGGGGGCTAGTTCCCAAATTAGTTACCTTCTTTTCCTTTTCTTTTTCTGCCCCCCCCCCCAGGGGGGATGGGAGGGGAGGTGTAGACGGGAGGCGGGAGGACCCGGTTGATTGACGTGCCCAGAGCCCGCTTCGCTCAACTTACAGCTGCGGCTCCTCGGCGGGTGGGAGGGGAAGTGTCCCGGAGCCCGAGGCCGCAGACTTGGGCGCGCTCCGAGGGAGGAGGCGTAAGAGCCGTGCAAATTCTTGCTGCGCTCTTTCCCACCCCCTCTCTCCGGCACACACGCTTTTTGTGCAGTAAAAAGTGGTGGGTTTGGGAATTTTCAGTGGAAAAGATCTGCTTCCTGGGACGCGAGTGCTTTCGCTTCCAGTGGTGGGCGCTTACTAGAAGTTCTGTTACTGTCGGTTAATGTGTTGGATGTAGGTCGGGACTTGTTATCACCACAGTATCTAGGCATCGGTCTGAGCTCAGCCACCCCTCCCAGTCTCCCTTTCTGCTTAAGCAAACGAGTGCACATACTGAAAAGTTGACATGATATTTTCCAACTTGGGCACGTCAGGAAAAGGTGGATGAAAGTCCTTGATGTGTTCTGGGGATAGGACATTTGTATGTGTGCAATCATGTTCCTAAGTCGAGTTTCAGAGTGGTAGGTACAACGCAGGTTCTCCACTGGTCTAAGTACGTTTCCATATGGTACACGACAGGAAGTTTTAGCTTTGGCACTCGAACCCAAGAAACGGCACGAGGCATTTTGAGGCAACTTAGAGTCGGTTTCTTGAGTTGAAATTCTAGGCATTCTGAAGGAGATTTGGTAAAGGCTGCAGTTCTTATGATCAGTTCAAAGCAGTCACGGTCTTTGACATATTCGATTCTATGAAGTTTTGTCAGTGCAAATGGATATCTGGAGAAAGGGGGAAAATTGAGATACAAAAAGATGAAGCGTAAATATGGCTGGCCATCATTTTGCTCAGATCCTCAAAACTTTCCTTTTGAATCACTTGCTGACTATCTAAAAGTCTCAATAATAACTGAATGCCTTTGGGAACAAGATGGAGTGCTTTCTCCTCTTAAAAAAAACAGTGTGCAATAGAGCCTTTAGTTAACATCTTATGCTAATTTTACAAACAGGATTTCTCCATTAAGACCAGATTTTCATGGTATTTAATAACTCAGGTTGAGCAGTCTTTCCTGAAGCTTTTCTATTCTTCCCACCCCTAATATGGTGGCCTACTCTTCTTGGGTTTTGGGGGGAAGAGGGGCAGGTGCCTCACTGTCAGAGAAAAGAAAAACCATATTTTAACCAGGACCTTAGCAGGGCATGAGCAGTAACAGCCACTTGCTCTTGACCTTGTGTTTTTGCTTTAACACTGCTAAATTTTTGTACTGTTTCCTCATTCTCCTCTTTTGCCAGGCTCTGGGGAAGAGACAGTTCATGGACCTTTTTAAGAGTGTCCCTGTGTTCTTTGCAGCACCATTTCCCTTTCTAATGTGCAGAAGAAAAAAAGTGCCTGCTTTCGGACCTGTCCTTTTCTAGCCAGGAAAAGCACTAAGCCTTTTTCTATTAACCTCTGGCCCAAAGGGGAAGAAACCATTTGGGATAGAAGTGCAGAAAAATTTCCATGGATTTTTATTTTTACAATACAATCTGTTGACCTCCAAAAAATCGAGGTATATTTGAGAAACATCTGCTTGAGAGGTCACTTTGGTCTCTACAGAATATTTTCTGCTGATACTTTCTTATTGTGCTAGTAGCTCTTAACAGTAAAATAAAGTTACTTTATTTGTTCTTATATTCATGTGTGAACTGTGTTAAAGTTTATTCATGTCTATTTTTTTTCTCAAAATGGAAGTATTTTTTATAATATCCATGTTCTTTGTAAAATCCCACCTGTACTGAAGTACATAAACTACAAAAATGAAAGTCATACTGACTCCCACTCCCCAGAGATAATCACCGCAAACAGTCAATTCCTTGTTTAAAACAAGAGAAGGCAACAGTTGAGCACTGCTGTGTGTGCTTCACCCTGCCTAGGGATGGTCTGTGGTGATTCATGGGCTCGTGTTCTCTGTTCACTGCTCAGGTGGGTGAGAACTGCCAGTTAGAGGAAAAAGGGAGTGTTTTGCATTGGACCGATTTAAAATTATATGATTAAGTAATAGACAGGAGAGTTTTGATATAACAGGGCTGCTATTTTAGGTTTGTCCTTAAAGTACTTACTATACCTCAGTAGGCTTTTTCTCACACTTTGTTAATGTTTATGCTGATGTCCAGCCTCTGATGGATTGATGTATACTGGCCAAACTCATTAAAACAAAACGAAACCCTCACATTTGTAGAGTTTCATAGTTTATAGTTGGGAAGGAGTATGGTATACTTGCCATAAAGACCACTGCCAAGATATCCCTGTCCTGAGGGGTGGGAGTTCCTCTTGATCAGTATCCAAAGGTTACATGCTGAACATCATGGAAAGGAAATTAGAGGACAAAAGGGGTTTAATTACTGCTATTTTCACATGTGGCATGGAAGGGACTGATATTGAGGAGGGGGTGGCAGGGACTCAGGCCTGAATGCCACTCATAATTGGCATCTTGGTACATATTTAAGATAGATTTCTAAGTATACTTATATTTTGGCATGAGATCTTAGTGATGGGACAGAGTCACTTATTAAGCCTGGTACATTCAAAAAGAATGAGCTGTGGAGAAATTGATGATACTCTAAAAACGAAGCCCCAAAATAGTATATAGAAATTTAATCACAACATTGATTATTTGAGGTTGTTGGGGGACATGGGTGTTTTTTATACTACTCTGTCTTCGAACTTAAAATTGTTTTCAAAAGAAAATTAGAGAATTACCACCCAGATTTTCTGTTAGTTGTCTGTGTGAGATGTATGTAACCCTTTTTAGAGACAACCGAAGAGCTCCATCCCCACTTTAAGTCTGTAGTATTAGGGCATGCCCTGGTGGACAGTGGGAGTTAGCAGATGGAAGGGGAGATGGGGAAGAGAGAAGGCATTCTGCCTATGATGGGGTGGTATGAGAATGATGAAAGTTGTTTAGATTCATGAAAAAGGGTATCCCTGGGAGGCTTAGAATGTTCCAAAGGGGCACTTCGCTTAACAGTTATGCCCAGAAACAATGTTGTCTAGTTTACAAAAAACTGAAACTTAGGGCTTTGAATCAAAAGAGTCACAGTTTGAGTCCCAGCTTCTACTTACAAGATGAGCAGTTTGGGGCAAATCAACCACTGATTCTGTTCCTTCATTCACAAAATGAGGATAATAAAAATACCTATCTCAGGGTTGTGAGAATTAGTTGTATAATGTATGGGAAAATACTTTGGAAATTTTCAACCACAATGTAAAAGTTGCCATGATTGAAATAAGTAAAAATATTGATAAGCAAAATAAAACTTGTCTACTTCGACATTAATTCATTCAAAAACTCATCAAATAGCACCTAAAAACTGTTAGTGGCTCAGGGGTTACAATAATGTTGAGACAATGTCCTGATCTCAAAGAGTATAGGGTAAAGCAGAGAAGCCAAGTAATTACAATACCTGCCTTGAGTGTGGTGATGGATATAGCATCCCAGTTAGGATGATACATAATTTGTCACCCTGTAGTTGTATGTATAGGCTATTTTGGCAGAACAGAAGAGAGGCATTTTCTTCACCCTGGGATCAGAAAGAACTTCTCAAAGAGAGTGTGAGCTGAACACTGAAAAGGTTCTAAGCAAAAGGAACCGCATGTGTGGAAAGAAGGAAGGCTTTTGCTGTGTTAGGCGATTTGGGATAAGAGAAAATCTTAAATAGATTTAAGGTTTAGAGAGTTGAGTTAAGCTTCATAGAGTGAACACTTTTAATTTTTAAAAAATTTATTTTTAATTGAAACAATTGTACATATCTGTGGGGTACAGTGTTGAATATCAATACCTGTGAACATACTTTTTTGATATTTTTATTGGTTTTATTTCATCGAATTTTAGTTAGATGAGTGTGAAGTTTTCAGGACTTTGGTT